TGCGCACAGGGAAGCCGCAGCTGTCAAGAAATATGAAAGCTTTTCCATTCGTCCACTCAGTGTATATATTCTGTACTCTATATTTTTTTTTTCATTTATCAGTAATATGGTTCAGTGGGTCCTTTGACAACTCTTTAGTTATCAGTATATATTACATTCATGGAGGAGCGCAAAAGCCGTAGGGAGTTATGCAGCGCCATAAGAAATAGGCGAGGATCAAATTCGATCCAAGGTTTAAAGATTAATAAAACAAAATTACAGATGATTTTTATTTACAAAAATATAAATAAAATGTCTATAAAATAATATAGTAATAATAAATACCTGAGAGAAATATAAAATAAAACTACATAGAATTAAGTTAGTCAACCTCTTCGATAGTTGGTCCTGGTCGACTGGAGGTGTTTGGGGGAACTGGTCCTCGACCAGCTGAACTTGGACCTCCTGAACCGTAAATCTTAGCAGCCAAGGGTTTCCAGTGTTCCTCCAGTTTACTGAGTTGACTCTCAAACTCTTCCTTCTCTGCCAGCTGGTTGTTGTCAAGCCAGACAAGTGTTTCCTCCACCTGGGCTGTGACACTCTTCTTCTCTTCCTCCGTCAGTTTGCTGGAGACGTTCTCCTCACTCAGGCTGCTCTTCAAGTTGAGACACAGAGACTCCAGACGATTCTTACTCTCAATTCTTTCTCGCTGGCGACTGTCTTCCTCTGAATATTTCTCTGCTTCTTGAACCATCCTCTCTATTTCTTCCTTGTTGAGGCGACCCTTGTCATTAGTGATGGTGATCTTGTTTTGTTTGCCCGTTGACTTATCCTCTGCTGACACATTAAGGATACCGTTGGCATCGATGTCAAAAGTGACCTCTATCTGAGGTACTCCTCTTGGTGCAGGAGGAATACCCGAGAGTTCAAACTTGCCCAGCAGATTGTTGTCCTTTGTCATGGCACGTTCCCCTTCATACACTTGGATAAGGACACCCGGTTGGTTGTCTGAGTATGTAGTGAAGATCTGAGTCTGTTTGGTGGGGATGGTGGTGTTGCGTTTGATGAGGGCAGTCATGACACCTCCGGCTGTTTCAATACCCAATGATAAAGGTGCAACATCCAGAAGTAGCAGATCCTTGACACCGTCGGACTGGTCACCTCGAAGGATGGCGCCCTGAACAGCGGCACCGTAGGCCACCGCCTCGTCAGGGTTGATGGACTTGTTAAGGTTCTTGCCGTTGAAGAAGTCTTGCAACAACTTCTGCACTTTGGGGATCCGGGTTGATCCACCCACCAGCACAATGTCGTGGATTTGACTCTTGTCCATCTTGGCGTCTCTCAGAGCCTTCTCCACGGGGAGCAGTGTGTTACGGAACAGGTCTGAACACAACTCCTCAAACCTGGCTCGAGTGATGGACGAGTAGAAGTCGATGCCCTCAAATAGGGAGTCAATCTCCACATTGGCTTGTGTTGAGGACGACAGAGTACGTTTAGCGCGTTCACAGGCCGTTCTTAAACGTCGCAAGGCACGTTTATTGCCGCTAATATCTTTCTTGTATTTTCTCTGGAACTCTTGCATGAAGTGATTGACCATACGGTTGTCAAAATCTTCGCCACCAAGATGAGTGTCTCCTGCTGTAGACTTCACCTCAAATATACCGTCGTCAATGCTCAGGACAGACACATCGAAGGTTCCACCTCCCAGGTCAAAGATGAGCACGTTACGTTCTCTGGAGTCTCCTGTGCCTGCCTTCTTGTCGAGGCCGTAGGCGATGGCTGCTGCTGTGGGCTCGTTGATGATACGCAGAACGTTAAGTCCAGCGATGATACCAGCATCTTTGGTAGCCTGACGCTGTGAGTCATTAAAGTAAGCAGGTACTGTAATGACAGCATCCTTCACTTTCTGACCCAAGTACGCCTCAGCTGTCTCCTTCATCTTTATTAACACCATAGATGAGATCTCCTCGGGATTGAAGCTCTTGCTCTCTCCCTTGTACTCAACTCGTATCTTGGGTTTACCGTTGTCATTGACCACATCAAAAGGCCAATGTTTCTTGTCGGTCTGAACAGTGGGATCGTTAAACTTGCGACCGATGAGTCGTTTGGCATCAAAGATTGTGTTGCTGGGGTTGAGGGCTGCCTGGTTTTTAGCTGCGTCACCAATGAGTCGTTCAGTGTCAGTGAAGGCCACATAGGATGGTGTAGTTCTGTTTCCCTGGTCGTTAGCTATGATCTCTACTTTGCCTTGCTGGAACACACCAACGCAGGAGTACGTGGTGCCCAGGTCGATACCAATTGCTGGAGCTGACATTGTGTTTGTCTTAAGAACATAAGAACATAAGAACGAAGGAACACTGCAGAAGGCCTACTGGCCCATGCGAGGCAGGTCCAAGTCTCCTACCGGCTTAAGCCAATGCACCCAACCTAGTCAGGTCAGGTCACATTGACTTAAGGGAGGAACACGGCAACCGACCTGGTAGCACAAGCTATCAGGTCTAACTCACACCCACCCACATCCACTCATGTATTTATCCAACCTTTTTTAAAGCTACACAACGTTTTTGGCCTCTATAACGGTAAATTGGGAGTTTGTTCCACTCATCCCAACTCTATTACCAAACCAGTACTTTCCTATATCCTTCCTGAATCTGAATTTTTTCCCAAATTAAAACCATTGCTGCGAGTCCTGCTAGGCTAGATATTTTCAGCACATATTTACATCCCCTTTATTTATTCCTGTCTTCCATTTATACACCTCAATCATATCCCCCCTAATTCACGTCTTTCTAGAGAGTGCAGATTCAGGGCCCTTTGTCTATCCTCATAGGGGAAGGTTTCTGATACATGGGATCAACTTTGTCATCCTCCTTTGTACATTTTCCAGTAATTTATATCCATTCTGTAAAACGGTGACCAAAACTGTGCAGCATAATCTAAATGAGCCTAACCAAGGATGTATAGAGTTGAAGAACAAACCTGAGGACTCCTATTATTTATGCTTCTTGATATGAAGCCAAGGATTCTATTAGCTTATTGCGAAAACTTATGCACTGTTGTCTTGGTTTCAGATTACTGCTAAAAACCCGAACTCCCAAATCTTTTTCGCAATCCGTAATATTAAAAATCTACATTATTTAGTTTATATGTGGCATGGTTATTGTCCTGTCCAACATTTAGAACTTTGCATTTGTCTATATTAAAAATGCATCTGCCACTTCTCCGACCACTGCATCAGTCTATTCAAATCTTCCTGGAGTGCTCGAATGTCCTCGTCAGAATGAATTCGACGGGCCCATTTGGTGTCATCGGCAAACTTGCCGATGTCGCTCTTTATGCCCTCATCTATGTCGTTTATGTAGATTGTGAACAGCAGGGGGCCCAACACTGACCCCTGTGGAACACCGCTCGTACACTTCCCCACTCTGATTTTTCCCATTTATGCAAACTCTCTGCTGCCTATTTGTCAACCATGCCCCTATCCAGGAAAAAATTTCTCCTCCTATTCCATGTGCTTTAATTTTCCTCAAAAGTCTCTGAGTGGGGGCCCTGTCAAAAGCCTTTCTGAATCCAATTTTCCCAAAATATATCATTACCATGATTACCCCCTCAAAAACCCTTTGTGAAAAAAGTTAATAAATTCGTAAGGGAGGAACGCCCCTTTGTAAAAAAATGCTGAGATTTGTTGATTAATTTATGCTTTTTTAAGGTGGTACGAACTGCCCGGCAAAAATTGATTCCATAAATTTTCCCCCTATGAGGTTAGGCTTTTTGGTCTATATTCGAAGAAAAGGACCTGTCCCTGTTTTGAAAATGGTATCACATTTGCCATTTTCCATTTATCTGGCCCCTCCCTTTTTTGTAGTGTATTTTGAAAAAGTTCCAAAGGGGTGCAAGCCTCCTCTTTACATTCCCTTTTAAAAACCCTTGCATACGTTCATCAGGGCCTGGGGATTTGTTAGGTTTTTTAAATTTTTCTATTTCCAAGGACCATGTCACTTGTGACCCCAAAATCCACGTTTTTATCGTCCGTTCTCTAATTTATCATTACTGGAATACGTGGTATCCCCCGTGTAAAAAATGAGAGGGGTATGTGTTAAAAATTCTACACATTTCCCTTTCACGTCAGTGAGCTGACCCCAGGAACTTTTGAGTGGGCCTTTTGTCCTGATCTTACTTCTGTATACCCGAAAGAAAACCTTTTGGGGGTTTGTCTTTGATTTTCTTGAACTTTTAAACCCCTAATTCTTTTTGCTTTTTTAATTCCCTTTTTTATTTCTCTCTTTAACGAATATATCGTTTTCCCCCTTGCCCCCCCCCCTTTTGATTTTCCTTAAGCCTCTCTTTTTACCAATCAGATATTTTAATCTATTGTTATCCCCTTTAGGATATTTTTTTGTTTGTTTTCCTGTTTTTCCCTATTTTGGAAAACATAATTTGACTGAGCAGCTAAAACATCCCCTAAAAAGCATCAATCGGAAACCCCACACCACCTACCTGACCCTTAGTCAGGTCATTCCAGTTCCCGCCCCCCAAGTAATTTTCAGTCCTATGAATCACCCAAGCGAAAAGTCGGGGAGGGAAAAGTTTCAAATTTGCCATTATTAGGGGAATTCCTTGATATTTTAAAAAAAGATTTTTTTGTAAACACTTTCCCCAAGCCCCATAAATTAACCTCAAGATTTTTAAATTAGTTTTTCCCCTACTGGCAAGAACCAAGTCAAGCAGGTTTTTTCCCCCCCAAAATTTGGGCTCTGTAAACAAACTGTTTTAAAAAACAATCCGGACTCATCAAGAAAGTCACCTGACCAAATTTCCCTTTGCCCAAATTGCTCCTTTCAATCTGTCTATATTTAAAAATCTCCCATTAGCACAAACTTTTCGTATGTAATCCCTTTCAAAATTTCGTCCCTTTAAAAGTTTACTCCCTCCCTATCAGTTTTGGGGGCCCCGGGAAAATCCCCACCCAAAATTAGTTTTTCTCGGCCCTCGAGAAGTGAAACCAAAAGATTCAGGGGGCGATGTTTCAAATTTTTAATATCTTGTTTTAAAAACAAAAATTTTAAATTGTTTTAAACAAACATCGCTTGACCACCGGGGAAATGTGGTGGGCACTTGTAGCTTCTGGGGAAAAAGTTTCTCGTATTTTTTTAAAGCTTTGAATGAGTGCTGGGGCCGTCCCGCGCTTATATGGGGGGCAGCCCTAAGAAACTAGAACATTCCAGACCTTTCTTTTACATTCTCTCTTGTAATACACAAAAAAAAAGTTATCAACCAATATAAGACTAACTATTGAAAAAAGGATAAATTTTAAAACCCTCCATAAAAAATATAAAAAACGTGGGGCCAATAACCTAAAAATTTTAAGTTTTCCCTCTAATCAAAAAAATTTTTATATGTAAATTACCCCATTTTTTATCAAAATATTTTTTCAGTTGGGGGTAAAATAAGAGTGGGGAAATTGACGGGTAAGAAAGTTTAAATTTTTAAAATAGAAGTTTCTCGATGATTCCTTTTTCCCAAATTGTTGTTTTTTTTAATAAAAAACAGACTTTTTTCACTTATATATGAATTATTATTAAAGTGGGGGATTATTAACTTTTAATATGGTTTTTTTTTTCGTTAGCTTTCCATTTTAAACCTGTTGATTCTTCGGGTTTTTGAGCTCCCACATACATTTAATAAAATATATGGCTTAAGTTTAAAACAATTTATTTTATTGTTCTTATACTCCTCAACACACAACCAGGTTCCTGGGGAAAGGGCCCGTGGCTAAAGGGATGGGGTTTCACACCCGGGGTTCTTGGGGTTTGATTCCAGCTAGGGTAGAAAAATAGGGGGTGTGATCTTTAAAACCTTGGGGTTTTCTTGGTTTCCCCCCAGTAAAAAGGGTACCCTGGGTGTTAGTGGAATGGGGGGGGTAAATCCCGGGGTTTATTTGGGCTGTGTGGGTCACATCCTGGGTGTTATTGCACTGTGTGGGCCCCATCCTGGGTGTAGTGGACTGGTGTGGGTCACATCCTGGGTGTTAGTGACTGTGTGGGTCACAATCCTGGTGTTAGTGGACTGGTGTGGGTCACATCCTGGGTATTATGTAACTGGTGTGGGTCACATCCTGGGTGTTAGTGGACTGTGTGGGTCACATCCTGGTGTTAGTGGACTGGTGTGGGTCACATCCTGGGTGTTAGTGGACTGGTGTGGGTCGCATCCTGGGTGTTAGTGGACTGTGTGGGTCACATCCTGGGTATTAGTGGACTGTGTGGGTCACATCCTGGTGTTAGTGGACTGGTGTGGGTCACATCCTGGGTGTTAGTGGACTGGTGTGGGTCACATCCTGGGTGTTAGTGGACTGTGTGGGTCACATCCTGGGTGTTAGTGGACTGGTGTGGGTCACATCCTGGGTGTTAGTGACTGGTGTGGGTCGCATCCTGGGTGTTAGTGGACTGGTGTGGGTCACATCCTGGTATTAGTGGACTGGTGTGGGTCACATCCTGGGTGTTAGTGGACTGGTGTGGGTCACATCCTGGTGTTAGTGACTGGTGTGGGTCGCATCCAGGGTGTTAGTGGACTGGTGTGGGTCACATCCTGGGTGTTAGTGGACTGTGTGGGTCACATCCTGGTGTTTAGTGGACTGTGTGGGTCACATCCTGGGTGTTAGTGGACTGGTTTGGGTCACATACCTGGGTGTTAGTGGACTGGTGTGGGTCCACATCCTGGTGTTAGTGACTGGTGTGGGTCACATCCTGGGTGTTAGTGGACTGGTGTGGGTCACATCCTGGGTGTTAGTGGACTGGTGTGGGTCACATCCTGGTGTTAGTGGACTGGTGTGGGTCACATCCTGGTGTTAGTGGACTGGTGTGGGTCACATCCTGGGTGTTAGTGGACTGGTGTGGGTCACATCCTGGGTGTTAGTGGACTGGTGTGGGTCACATCCTGGGTGTTAGTGGACTGGTGTGGGTCACATCCTGGGTGTTAGTGACTGGTGTGGGTCGCATCCTGGTGCTAGTGGACTGGTGTGGGTCACATCCTGGGTGTTAGTGGACTGGTGTGGGTCACATCCTGGGTGTTAGTGGACTGGTGTGGGTCACATCCTGGTGTTAGTGGACTGGTGTGGGTCACATCCTGGGTGTTAGTGGACTGGTGTAGGTCACATCCTGGTGTTAGTGGACTGGTGTGGGTCACATCCTGGGTGTTAGTGGACTGGTGTGGGTCACATCCTGGTGTTAGTGGACAGGTGTGGGTCACATCCTGGTGTTAGTGGACTGTGTGGGTCGCATCCTGGGTGCTAGTGGACTGGTGTGGGTCACATCCTGGTGTTAGTGGACTGGTGTGGGTCACATCCTGGGTGTTAGTGGACTGGTGTGGGTCACATCCTGGGTGTTAGTGGACTGGTGTAGGTCACATCCTGGTGTTAGTGGACTGGTGTGGGTCACATCCTGGGTGTTAGTGACTGGTGTGGTCACATCCTGGGTGTAGTGGACTGTGTGGTCCACATCCTGGGTGTTAGGACTGGTGTGGGTC